CCCCATAACCCTTGATCCCCTTGATAATCAAGAACCTATCCATCTCAGTGTTAAATGTACTCAATGACCTGGCCTCCACAGCCTTCTGTGGCAGTGAATTCCATAGATTCACCACTCTCTGGCTGAAGAAGTTTCTCCTTATCTCCGTTCTAATAGGTCTTCCCTTTACTCTAAGGCTGTGCCCTCGGGTCCTAGTCTCTCCTACCAATGGAAGCATCTTCCCAACATCCACTCTGTCCAGGCCATTCAGTATTCTGTAAGTTTCAATTAGATCCCCACCCATCCTTCTAAACTCCAATGAGTATAGTCCCAGAGTCCTCAAATGTTCCTCATATGTTAAGCTTTTCATTCCTGGGACCATTCTTGTGAACGTCCTCTGAACCCGCTCCAGGGCCAGTACATCCTTCCTGAGATATAGGGCCCAAAACTGCACACAATACTCCAAATGTGGCCTGACCAGAGCCTTACAAAGCCTCAGTAGTACATCCCTGCTTTTATATTCACGTCCTCTCAAAATAAATGCCAACATTGCATTTGCCTTCCTGACTACTGACTCAATCTGCAAGTTTACCTTGAGAGAATCCTGGACTAGAATTCCCATGTCTCTTTGCACTTCAGACTTCTCAATTTTCTCCCCATTTAGAAAATAGTCCATGCTTTTATTCTTCTCACCAAAGTACATGACCTCACACTTTCCCACGCTGCACTCCATCTGCCACTTCTTTGCCCATTCTCCTAACCTGTCCAAATCCTTCTGCAGCCTCTCCACCTCCTCAATACTACCTGTCCCTCTACCTATCTTTGTATCATCTGCAAACTCAGCCAGAATGCCCACAGTTCCTTCATCTAGATCATTAATGTATAAAGTGAAAAGTTGTGGTCCCAACACTGACCCTTAGAGAACAGCACTTGTCACTGGCTGCCATCCTGAGAAAGACCCTTTTATCCCCACTCTGTGCGTTCTGCCAGACAGCCAATCTTCTATCCATGCTAGCACCTTGCCTCTAATACTATGAGCCCTCATCTTACTCAGCAGCCTCCCGTGTGGCACCTTGTCAAAGGCCTTCTTGAAGTCCAGGCAAATAACATCCATTGGCTCTCCTTGGTCTACCCTGCTCGTTACTTCCTCAAAGAATTCTAGCAGATTTGTCAGGCATGACCTCCCCTTGATGAAACCATGCTGACTTTGCCCGATTTTACCATACACTTCCAAATAATCAGAAATCTCATCCTTTACAATGGACTCCAAAATCTTACCCATGACCGAGTTTAGGCTAATCGGCCTGTAATTTTGCGTCTTTTGCCTTACTCCCTTTTTAAACAGGGGTGTCACATTAACGATTTTCCAGCCCTCTGGGACCCTCCCTGACTCTAGCGATTCCTGAAAGATCACCACTAACGCTTCCACTATCTCTTCAGCTATCTCCTTTAGAACTCTGGGGTGTAGTCCATCAGGTCCAGGTGATTTATTCACCTTCAGGCCAATCAGTTTTACTCGCACCTTTTCCTTGGTGATGGCCACTGTACTTAGCTCTGCCCCCTGACGCTCTTGAATTTTTGGGAGATTACTCGTGTCTTCCACCGTGAAGACTGACGCAACGTAATTATTCAGTTCCTCAGCCATTTCCTTGTTCCCCACTATTATCTCTCCACCGTCATTTTCCAGTGGTCCAATGTCCACTTTTACCTTATATATATCTTTATATATCTAAAGAAACTCTTACAGTTTTCAATTATATTACTGGTTAGCTTACCCTCATAGTTAATCCTCTCCCTCCTTATTTCTTTATTTGTTGGCTTCTGTTGGTCTTTGCAAGCTTCCCAGTCTTCTGGTTTCCCACTGCCCTTCGCCACATTATATGCTTTCTCTTTTGCTATTATGTTATCCCTGACTTCCTTAGTCAGCCATGGTTGCCTCATTCTCCCTGCACCATGCTTCTTTTTCCTAGGGATGAATTTTTGCTGTGTCTCCTGAATTACTCCAAGAAACTCTTGCCATTGCTTTGGATTACTCCCAGAAACTCCAGCCATCCTCCATAAACTACTGCATTAGTCTTATTATCCTCAGTGATGATTTCCCTGTTACTTTCTTAATCTGTAGTCTGTCATATTTATAAACCAGATTCATCTTTCCTTTAGGCTACTGCTTTCAAGTCAGGAGAGGATTGTAAGTTGAGTAGCAGGACTGAGAATGTTATTGTATGCATTAAGAGGAACTGAGGTGTCCCTACACACTGGAGATGACCATGGGGAGTGAGGAAAATGAATGGTTCTGTTTATAAAGTAAGACTTGCAGAGCTGTGCAGAGAATTAGCTGTGAAGGGGAATCTTACCTTGACCAGATCACATCCTGGGGAAATACTGACACCATTAGTAGTTTCAACTGCATTTCTATGTTTGTCCTAAAATGCATTGGCTATCTGTTCGGAAGAATACCTCCTTGCTACTGCTCATTTATTCAATAGGTGTCTCCCCTGCTGCCTTAGGGAATCTCAGCAATCTCAGCGTATTGTTTAGAATTATTTTGTAGCTGTATCTCAATCCTGCTCGCTACTGTCCCTCATATAAAGAACCTTTCTTATAAGATGCCTGCACATATAGGACAGACTGGGGGACATTCTGACTTTCTATTTATCAAACTGCCTAAATATAAATGTGTTTCAGACTGAGAGCTCACCCATTTTGTTCTAAACCCAAGTAATGATGACCGCTGTTACTCTTTTAACTAGCTGCGTTATGCACTACCCACACATAGTCTTCTTTATGCAAACAAGCGCTGATATTTCCCTGGAATAGAGTAAGATGAAGAGATGATTGCAATCACTCAGTCTGTCAGGAATAGTTTTTGTTTGCTGAGCTGGTAAGTGATCTCTTGATTTGAATATTGCAAAGCAACCTGCCTTCTTTGTTTGCCTTCTAAATTATGGACAATGATCTAAGTTTAGTACTTCTTCAGCTAAGACAAATTCTGATAGCTAGAGCTAACTTGGGTATAAAGCATTCCAGCACAGAGCTTCAAAGAACATCAGGATGGTTCTGTAATTATGTTCTCTGTCCACAGCCCATATATTTTTTAAAAAATCCATTAATGGAAAATGATTTTGCTCGCCAATTAGCAGCAGATTGTATTTGTGTTTGTATCTGGAAGGGATTGAGTAAAAATTCTCCAAGGTGCTTCACAGACAAAATTTAGCATTGAGACCATAAGATTTGGGGTAGAATTAGGCTATTTGACCTATCAAGTCTGCTCCACTACTCAGTTGTGCCTGATATGTTTCTCAACTCCATTCTCCCACCCTCCCTCTGTAACCCTTTTCCCTTTGCGAAGAAGAATCTGTCTTAAAGACACACAATGACTTGGTTTCCACAGCCTTCTGCGGCAATGAGTTCCACAGATTCACCACCCTCTGAATGAAAAAAAATCCTCAACTAAGATAACAAGGTGTATAGTTGGATGAACACAGCAGGCCAAGCAGCACCAGAGGCTGATTGGCCTGCTGTGTTCATCCAGCTCTACACCTTGTTATCTCAGATTCTCCAGCATCTGCAGTTCCTACTATCTCTCCTCATCTAAGTTTTGAACAGCCATTCTTTTATTCTGAGTCTATGACCTCAAGTCCTAGTCTTTCCTACTAGTGAAAATATCTTCTCCATATTCACTCTATCCAGGCCTCTCAGTTTTCTGTAAATTTCAAGGAAATCCCTCATCCTTCTATACACCACCAAGTACAGACCACTCCTCATTTGACAAGACATTCACCCCCACGATCATTCTTGTAAACTTCCTCTGGACTCCCTTCCAATTCGAGCACATCCTTGCCTAGATACAGGGTCAAAGCTGCTTACAATATTCCAGATGAGGTCTGACCAGAGCCTTATACAGCCTCAGCAGTTCATCCCTCCTCTTGTATTCTAGCCCTCTTGAAATGAATTGCATTTGTCTTGCTAACCGCCAGCACTGAACCTGCATGTTAACCTGCAAAGTCCTATTTCAGGATTCTCCTAAGTGCCTTTGTATTTCAGATTTCTAAAGCCTTTCTCCATTTAGAAAATAGTCTATGCCTCTATTCTTCCAACCAAAGTGCATTACATCACACTTCCCCACAGAGCCACTGAAAGAAACATTAGGGCCTGGTTATGGAAATTGGGAAGTGGTGGGAGAAACCAAGGAGGGTTTAAAACATCTAAAACTCAGAAGTTCATTGACAAAGGTCCTAGGTGCAGGAGTATATCATTCAAGCCCGTTTATTACATTCAATAAGACTATGGCCAATCAGGTTGTGGTCTCAACTCCACATTCTTACTGCCTCCAATAACCCCCAACAACTTTGACTGCCAAAAATCTTATTAACTCAATCCTAAATAAATTAAACAACACTGCTTTCACTGCTTTTTTCGGGAAGAGAATCCCATGGACAAACAACTCCTAGAGAAAAAAAAAGTCTCAATCTGTCCCAAAAGGGAGATCTTGTGTTCCTAAACTGCATCTCCTACTTTTAATCTCTTCCACAAGAGGAAACATTCTCACAGTATTCGTGTGCTAAATGTTTCAACAAATTCACCTCTCATCCTTCTAATAGATCTAGCCTATTCAATCCTTCTTCATAAATTAAGCCTTTAATTCCGGGAATGAGTTGAACTAACCTTCTGTGAACGGCTTTTTACTATACTCTAAACACACTAATATATTATTTTTTCAAACAAGGAAACCAAAACTGTATACTACATTCCAGATGTGGCCTCAGCAAGGCCCTGTTCAGCGGCTGAAAATTTTTCAATTTTATATTACACTCCCTTAGAATAAACAGCAACATTCCACTTGCCATTCTATTGTCAGTAGGCAGGGGTGAAAGGTTTTGACCTCCAGTCAAATTTCCAGTTTGGATACTATTGTGCTGAAGAAATATAGAGAATAGCTCCTGGGCTTGACAAACAACTGACCATCATCCTCCTTAACACCGTAAACATGGCAAAAATTAATATCCTGCATCATTACTTACATCCTTTTGTCTATTTCTTCTTTGGAATTGAATGTCATTGACATTTATCTTCTCTTTCAGTTCCTCGAGGGTCATGTTCACTGACAGTGTTTGCAATGCTTCCAGATCAACCACACGACCAAATTTCCGGATCATTTCTTGATAACACTTCTCTTCTAACTCTGTAGTAACACAATACTGGTTGTAGTTTGAAAATGTGCACTATGCTTATTCTAAAATGTATACTAAAATATAAAAAATTGTGAGTCTGCACATTTCTGTCATTGTGGCCATTGTGAGCCGGCATCACTCTGGGAACATTCTTTGCTGATTCACTCAAAACAAAACAGGAGGAAAGAAGTGTACAACCAACCAATAAAAGGCGTGCAGATCAAGTGGGCTGTATTGTCTTGGATGGTGACAAATCTCTTAAGCGTATTTACTTGCTGATTAGTACAAACCTGAACTTTGTCCAGACCTCACCCCATGGAATCATACAAACCTTTTCATATTGGGTAGGTTACGAACACAACTGAATAGTTCAGCTATGTGGATAGAGTGGACAAAGCTGGACTTGCTCTCCTTCCCACAGAAAAGGATGAGAGGAGATTTGAGGAAGTCATGAACTTCACAAAGTAGGTAGAAGGAAACTATTCCCACTTGTGGAAGGTTGTAGAATTAGAGGACATTTAAAGTAGTTGTCAAAGAACCCAAAGGAACACAAGCCAAAGATTATCATGCAGTGGATGATTAGAGTCTGGAATACACTGCCTGAGTGAAAGCCAAGATTTAACCTTGGCTTTCAATAGGGAATTAATTACATTCATGAAAGGGACATAAGTTGCAAGACCATGGGGAAAGAGTAGGTTATCAACTCTGGCTAGACATCTCCAGGCCATTGGTCACTCAGCTCCATTTCCCATGTTTCAGGCTGTGCCTTGCTTCTTTCTCACAGCCTGCCTTCCAGTGAGTGTTCATCCCACATTGTGGCATTCTCTACCTGCTGCCTTCTGATGTGGAGGTGCCGGTGTTGGACTGGGGTGGACAAGGTCAGAAATCACACAACACCAGGTTAAAGTCCAACAGGAAATAACAGCAAAATGGACTATGTTTTAAATGGTAAAAAATTGCAGCACGCTGCTGTGCAAAGGGACTTGGGTGGCCTTGTGCATAAATCGCTGAAGGTGGGATTGCAGGTGCAGCAGGTGATTAAAAAGACAAATGGAATTCTGTCTGCCATTGCTCGAGGGATGGAGTTTAAAAACAGGGAGGCTATGCTGCAGCTGTATAGGGTCCTGGTGAGGCCACGCCTGGAGTTCTGTGTGCAGTTTTGGTCTCCTTACTTGAGAAGGGACATACTAGCACTGGAGGGGGTGCAGAGGAGATTCACTTGGTTGATTCCAGAGTTGAGAGGGTTGGATTATGAGAAGAGACTGCGTAGACTGGGATTATACTCATTGGAATTCAGAAGAATGAGGGGAGATCTTATAAAAACATATAAGATTATGAAGGGAATAGATGAAGTGGAGGCAGGGAGGTTGTTTCCGCTAGCAGGTAAAACTAGGACTACAGGGCATCGCCTCAAAATAAAGGGAAGCAGATGTAGGACTGAGGTCAGGAGGAACTTCTTCAGCCAAAGGGTTGTGAATCTGTGGAATTCCCTGCCCAGTGAAACGGTTGAAGCTACCTCACTGAATGTTTTTAAGGCAAGGCTAGATAAATTTTTGAACAGTAAAGGAATTAAGGGTTATGGTGAGTGGGCGGGTAAGTAGAGCCAAGTCTCAAAAAGATCAGCCATGATCTTATTAAATGGCGGGACAGGCTCGAGGGGCCAGATGGCCTACTCCTGCTCCTAGTTCTTATGTTCTTATGTTCTTATGTAGGTTCATTTGAAAACACAAGCTTTTGGAGCCTCACTCCTCCTTCAGGTATTAGTGAGGTAGCATCAGACATAGATCAAAGGGTCACACCACTGATGAGGATGTATTAAACAAACCTAAGATGCTGTTAAATCTTTAATCAGTTAGAAGCTTTTACTTGATTAATATGTGTGTGTAAATCCCCAAATTCCTTTCAAGTCACAGTCCTGAGAGAACTAAAAGTTTTATCAGTGTAAAGAAGAGCTGACATTTTAGGTCAGACAATGCATGTTAGGTGTGAAGCCTTGTTTAGAAGGAATTTATGTAGGAATTCATAAAATGCCACATTGTCTATAAATTGTGTGCTTTTTGAACAAAATAGAATGTATCTGCAAATACAAATTCACCCCACAGATTTATGTGTGTGCGTGCATGTGTGAGGATGAGAGAGAGAGTGCGCGCGAAGGCTCACCAAGGGAGTGAGCGAGGTGGGGAGGGACAGAGAGAGTATACGAAAGGGGATGTGCGTGGGGGCGAGAGAGAGAGGGGATGCATGTATTTGCAGATGCATTCTATTTTGTTCAGAAAGCAAACAATTTATAGACAGTCAGCCAGTGTGGTGTTTTATAAGTTCCTACTTTAGAAATAAACTAGTCTGACTCCAAACCAAAATACAGTTTCTAAACAAGGTCTCACACCTAACATGCATTGTCTGACCTAAAATGTCAGCTCTTCTTTACACTGATAAAAGCTTTAGTTCTCTCAGGACAGTGAGTTGAAAGGATTTTGGGGATTTGCATGTACACATTAATCAATTAAAACCCTCTAACTGACCAAAGATTTCACAGCATCTTAGGTTTGTTTAATACATTTTCATCAGTGGTGTGACTCTTTGATCTTTTACTTATAAATTCTGTGTCTGATACTACCTCATTAACACCTGAAGAAGGAGCGAGGCTCCGAAAGCTGTGTTTTCAAATGATTCTGTTGGACTACAACCTGGTGTCGTGTGATTTCGGACCTTGCTAGCATCTGAGAGAGGAAGAGTACAAAGAGACTCAAAACCATCCTCAAGCTTCACAGAGAGAGGAGTGGCCTTACTTCAGCTCTAGGAGCTGCCATCTTTATCTGAAGTAGAAGCAATTTTGTGAATATCAGGCTGCCTTCAGAACCCAACCCCAACTAAGATAAAAGTTTTGTTTATCAGCCAGCCCCAACTACTCACTCTACATTCATGAATATTTCACACATTCCACTATAATCTCCCAGATTACTTTCAATAGTCATTGGGAGCTAGATGTTAATTTTGTTAGACTCCAGGCCAATCTGGGATAGTGAATGGGATGTGTGGCAACTCTAACAGGGAGTGGGAAAGCTGAGTTACTCCTGCAAGAAATTGACAGGAACTCAATGGCCAATTGGCCTGCTTCTGAACTGTAGACATCTAGAGTTACTGTGAGCAGTTCTGGGCATCACACCTTAGGAAGGATCTACTTGCCTTGGAAGGAGTGCAACATAGATTTATTAGGGTAATACCTGGATTCCCAAGGATTATATGGGAAGAGATTGTACAAACTAGTTTTGTTGTCACTGAAATATAGATGGCTAAGAGATGATCTGACTGACATTTTCAAGGTATTAAGGGAAACAGTTATTTGGATTGACATAACCTATTTTCACCAGTTGGGGAGTCTAAGACTAGGAATCAGTTTGTAAAAATTAGACTCAGCCTTCATAAAAGTGAAATTAAGAAACACGTCTTCATGTGGTGCAAGTTTGGAATTCCCCTCTGCAAATAGCACTTCATGGTCACTCATTAATTGTTCAGAGGGATTAAGGATATGAGCAGAAGTGAAAGTATATGGATTTAAGCTATAGATCAGCCACCATCTCATTGATTGGCAGAAAGGTTCAAGGGGCTAACTGACCTACTCCTGTCCCTATGTTCCACAAGTTATTGGCACACTGACCCTCCACCTAACTCACTAATTAGCTCCCTGCAAATGCCTCCCATACCTGCTGCTTCCTCTGCTTCGGCCAGGTTTCAACCTGTTTCAGAATCTCTATGTCAAATGGTTAATTTACTCTCATTCACTTTCCTTGTGAAATATTAATTACATTTAGAATGCACAATGCTTCAGTGGGACAGATGTGTATTTTTTTAGAAAAAGGATTGTCAGACTTACATTTCTAAAATACTTTTCACATCCTCAGGATGTGCTAGCATGTTTATACATTTTTGAAAGATAGACACAGTTGTGAAATCAGAAACTGACAGCCAATTTCAACACAGCAAGATTCCATTCCACAAACAGAAACAAGTTAGTGACCAGGCAATCTGTTTGAGGCCAATTATTGGGCAGCACACCAGGAGAACGGCCAGTAACATCTCTTGCTCAGAAGCTGAGAGTTATACGTGCCTGCAGGCGATTTCTGACACTAACATCCACCAGTCTGTAATATATAGCATTTACCTGCTATTTCAGCCTCCATCTCTGCTTTGTCCCGCAGAAGCTGGACATGTTTCTGCCTCGCTTGTTTAAACAGTTCTCGCTGCTCGTCCTTCTCCACCTGGAGTTCTTTGATTCGCTTTTGCAGCAAATTTAAGGCTGGATTGGTGAAAACCAATCCGAGTACAAGATCATTTGGCATGTCTCCATTGACAATGTACTCCACCTGCATCACAAGAGAAACTGAACAGTATTTTTCAATGATGAGGATAGTGTGGGAAGCTGGAACTGACATAGATTGGCCATCATTTTGTTGAATAGTGGAGCAGGCTGAAAGGTTAAACTGTCCAGGGTACAACTCCTAATCCTTATATCCCTTTTGACCGGCCTAATATGCCTTTCTTTAGCAATCCTATCTTAAAGGTACATGTTATTGTTTTGTATATTTCTTCAGGAAGTATAGCCCAAAAGCAGAGTGTGGAAAGGGTTTACCCCAATCTCCCATTACAATTCCCAACATGCTCCCAATTTTCAAAGATTCAAGATGATTGTCCAAATATTAATAAGTTTTCTATCGATATGCCTCAAGATTACATTGCAAAACACTTGCTTACATTTTGATACTGACTATCTTTCTTTGGGGTTGTACCTTATTTGCAATCAGTCAGTTTTGAAATAAAATTTTATTACAAAGTAGTTCAAATTCATCCTTTTACCTGATGGAGTTTCAGAGGAACGACGACATACAGTTCATTAAGTTTCTGTTGTTTCTCACGTTGCAATACTTCGAGATCTTTCTTTGCAGACTTTACAGTTCCTTCAATAATTTTTACCTGCGGTAACAGTGAAATTTCATTTAGCCAATCCTCTATCCATTTTCCCCCAAGCCAGAAGTTTTTGGCTTGTATAGTAATTTTTTAGTGACAGTTTATGAAACCTTTTTTAGAAATCTAAATACCTAGCTGATACCTGAAGCTTTCTAATCTTTGGGGCCTTTCCATAATCTAGGGAATATGGGAGATTACATCCACTATCTCTGCAACCACATTCTAGGCCCTAAAATGCAGGCCATCAGATCAACCTTTAGTCCCGTAATTTTTTTCCCCCAGTAGTAGTGTTTTACGTGCTTCCTTCCCTTTCTCTTCTTGATTTTATAGTGTTATTATTGGGTTTTTTTAATGCCTTCTATCATGAAGACTATATATTTATTCAACTGTCTCTACAATTCTCTGATTTCCTATTATTAATATTCTAGTCTTATCCTCTAAGCGATCTACATTTATTTAAACAACTCTCTTTCTACAGACTTGTAGAAGCTCTTACTGATTCTCTTCATTTCTCGTACTTGTTTACTCTTATATTCTGTGCCAGTTTCTAAAGTTTTCTCAATCGTCTGGCAGTATTAGGAAGAGGATTAAAGGAGGGTATGACCTTGTTGTTGGTGGGGGGAGGGAAAGCCTCTGATAGTCATAAGAAAGGCATTCGTCCCTTGACTGATGTGTTTATCCAGTAAAGCTGCTAGGCTGCCATCCTGTGTCCGCCTCCTGCTGCTGCAAGTAAATTACTGGTGGCGGTGGCAGCTTAGTCACTAAAGTGCATATCATCTAATGGTCACTATAGGGCCTTGGTAAGCCGAAAGGAAAGCTGGGCTGCTCGGCTTCTCCACCACTCCCCATAAAATGGGAGAGAAGTGGAGCTGCCAAGTAGGCAGCAGGCAGGCCATATGCTGCACCTTCATTCACTTTCAACTTCAAACCTACTGACACAGCACAGTAAAATTCTGCCTGTCATTATATCATAACCATTCCATTTCCATTTGTGTTTTTAATTCAGCTACTTTATGAACCCTGCATGCATTCTGACCCTTTACCATTTTATCTAATCTGAAGCCCTTTGCTAATGCACTCTCATATTTGTATATTGTGCCTTGGATATCATTCCCCATATTGCTACCCGCACAATAATCTTGCCCTTTCTCATCAACTGTCTAAATTTTCCTTGAAGTTAATAATTTGCTCCACATTTCAGTCTAAAGCCCTACTTATACAATTCTCCACATAGTTCAAGAGAAACTCATCCCCCATCAATGCAGCTCCCTCATTTCCAAGTAGTGGGGGCAGTACCCCATGAATCAAAACTACTTTTTCCACAACAATCTTTGAACCATGCATTCAGCTCTCCGATCTGATTTACCCTATGCCAGATTGCTTGTGGTGGAGCTGTAATCCAGAGATTGTTACCTCTGAGGTTCAGTTTCTTAGTTTATCCCCTAGCTGCATATTGTCCTCCAGATGAACCTTTCTCAGTCCTACCCGTGTGACTGATAGTCATATGAACCATGACAGCTGGATCCTACCCCTCCAACTCCAAGTCATTCTTCAGCCCAAGAAGGTGCCCTTAATCTCGGCACCAGACAAGCAGCACACTTCAGGACTCTCACTCTCAGCCACAGTGAACAGTTGTATCTTATTAAATATTGTGTTCAATTAGATCACCTCTCGTTATTCAAATTTCACTGGGCTAGTTTACTCAATTTCTTCTCAATGGAAAATCTTGCGGCTCTCTTGTGGCACAGTGATAGTGTCCCTACACTAAGACCAGGAGCCTAGGTTCAAGTCCCACCTGCTCCAGAGGTCTCTAATAACATCTCTGAACAGGTTGGTTAGAAAAATACGTCAATGGAAAATCCTCTCAAATCCGGAGTTAATCTCCATTGTATCTAGGACAAGGAAATCCTTCCCTAAATAACAAGACCATAAATCTTATCATACTATGTGTGATCTCACCAATATCCCGCATTAACATAGCCAGATGTTTTGTAGCTATCCTCCAATCTTAGATGAGTCTGCTTTCATTTTCTGATTTCTGTTTCCTAACCAGTTTCTTTGCACTACTTTACCGAATTCTAAAATCCTCCCAAGAATTATTATTTCTAATTATTTCTTACTTATTTTTGGCAACATTATAAATCTTTCCATTCCTTTGACTCCTCTTGTTAGTGAAAGTGGACCACTTTTTGTGGGATTTTGTACCCTACAGGAATTTTATATTTGCAACTTAATATATTAAATCTTTAAATGCTAGATATTGCTTGTTTTTGTCAAAACTTCCATGTAGTTTCACTATTTGATGTAGCCAAGTACTCCTCATAGCTATGTAGTTTGCTTTAGTTAGACATAACACCCAAGTTTCAGACTTAACTACATCACTTTCAAGCTTAACATCGAATTCTATCACATTGTGGTCATTCTTCCCGAGATATATCTCACCAAAAGTTTGTTAACCCTTCCTCATTGCATAATACTAGATTCAAAATCAGAGGTTCACAAATAGGTTCCTCCACAAAATGGTCTAGAAAACATTTTCAGATACATTTCATTAATTTACCCTCTATACTATTACTGCAAATTCGGTTTTGCCAACTCTAAATGAAGATCAAAGCTCCCCCTGATAACTGTATTACCCCTATAACATGCACTTCTTATTTCTGATTTTCTTGTTATGGGAATCACAGCTGACAGTATTACTGGGCAAGTCAGATCCCAGACTGAAATATTGCTTGATAGATCATATTTTGTTTTGAATTGGCTTTAACAAGGTGGTCTCTCAAAACATAAGCACACAATCTTGTAGATTTGATTTTAACAATAAAACATTTATTAAGCAGGAAAACTTAGTAGGTCGAGTGGCATCTATGGAGAGAAAGCAGAGCTAATGTTTTCTGTCCACTGACCCTTGAACTGATAGTAGCTAGGAAACGGTTGTATATATGTCGATAACAGGGGATGGGAGGGATAAAGAATGAGTGGATAGTCTTGGATGGAGTCCAGAGAGAGAGAGAACCAACAGTTATGCAGACAAAAGGATAGATGATAGTATACCACAGAGAAAGAAAAGCTGATAATGGGATCAATGAGTATGTGAAAAAGGGTTGGCTGTGCTCAAAGCAGCCCATGTCATGACAGCTGCTGGGTGTGGAGTTGGTAGAGGAAATAGAAGGTGTTCTGATTCTAAAATTATTGAAGTCAACATTGAGCACTGAAGGCTGCAAGTTCCCCTGTGGAAAATGAGATCTGGGACTATCACTAAATTACTTTAAGGTAATCTATCTCACTACCTTCTCCCCTTCTAAGGAGCACTGCTTTATAAATATATCTTCATCCAAGCATTTCTGCAGAACTGTATTCTACTGTATACTTTGTTATTCACTTTCTCAACCTACTTTGCACTTTCAATGATTTGTCCACATTGGCATTACATCCACAAGCATCCACTCCTTCCGCCACCGACGCTCAGTAGCAGCAGTGTGTACTATCTACAAGATGCACTGCAGAAATTCACCAAAGATCCTCAGACAGCACCTTCCAACTCACAACCATTTCCATCTAGAAGGACAAGAGTAGCAGACATATGGGAACACCACCATCTCCAAGTTCCCCTCCAAGACACTCACCATCCTGACTTGGAAATATATCGCCATTCCTTCAGTGTCGCTGGGTCAAAATCCTGGAATTCCCTCCCTAATCGCACTTTAGGTCAACCTACAGCTGGTGGATTGCAGCAGTTCAAGAAGGCAGCTCACCACCACCTTCTCAAGGACAACTAGGGATGGGCAAGAAATGCTGACCAGCCAGCAACGCCCACATCCCACAAATGAATAGAAAAAGAAAATCACATCCAGGGCTCTCTACTCCTGACATTCTTTAGAATTGTAATCTTTATTTTGTATTGTCTCTCTCCATTATTCCGAATAAAATGAATCACTTCACACCCCTTTCCATTAAATTTCATCTGCCACATGATCACCCATTCCACCAACTTGACCATGTCCTTTTGAAGACAATCACTATCTTCCTCACAGTTCAAAATACTCCAAGTTTTAAGTTATTTGTAAATTCCTTAAATTCATTCCTGTACACCTAAATCTAGGTCATTTGTATATTTCTCAAGAAGAACAGTGGGAAACAACCAGTTGGAGAACCATTCGTTATTATGCACTACTTCCCATCAGTCAGCCAGTCCGTATCCATGTTCCACTGTCCCTTTTTAATCCATGAGCTTCATTTTTTCTAGAAAGTTTATTATGTGGCACTTTATCAAAAGCCATTTGCAAGTTCAGGTCTTCAACAAGAGACAATCCAGCCATCTCCCCTTGACATTCAATGGCATCATCATCTCTGAATCATAAACTAGCAACATCCTGGGTCAACTATTAACCAGAAACTCAATATGGACCAGCCATATAAATATTGTAGTTACAATAGCATGCTAGAATCTGGGAATTTTGTGGCAAGTAACTCACTTTTTGATCCGCCCAAAACCTGTTCATCTACAACGCACAAGTCAGGTGTGTAACTTGCTGCAATGAGTGCAACTAAGATGCTAAAGAGCTCGACAGCATTTGGACAAAATAGCTCACTTGACTGGCATGCTATCTACTAACTTCAGCAGTGAGGTACAGTGGCAGCCTCATGTACTATCAACAAGATATATAAATGATGCAGGTCAAAACAGACATGGTGGCAATGAACTTTCAGGGGGGTAGCCATAAACAGTTGGGTAAATCATCCATATAACTCCACAAATGATTATATCCCAAAGAAAAATTTATCACCAATAATATTTTCCTACAATCACAATTTATTCCACTGCTATTTAACCACATAAGCTGTATATAGCAAAAGCAAAATTCTGTGGATGCTGAAAATCTGAAATAAAAACAAGGTGCTGCAGCATCTGTGGACAGAAACAATTAACATTTTGAGTCTAATCTGACTGTTTTATGGAACTAGCTTTAAATGCCTGCTATCTGTGAGAAAAGTTACTCTAAGTAGTTATTTTGTTAAAAAAATGCAGAGAAACAGAAACCACAAACCTTCTTAGCAATCATGTCATATTCTTTCTTTACTAATTCCACTGTTTTTTTCTCTTCAGCCAAGGATTCCTCAATATCCAGTCGTTTTTCTCGAAGTTGAAGGGTGTTTTCAAATAATGCTGGGTCACAAGCTGTGTAAGCAAGGCAATATCTGACAAGATTACTTTTTTATTAAACCAAATTTATGAAAATGGCACAATAATAGCTAATTGCCTCAAAGGAGCCCCACTCTCTCCCCATAGCCTGTATCAATCCCACACTAATTCCACGCTCTCTCTATAGACCCGTATCAATCACAAACTACTCCCAAAACTACACTCTCTTCCCAAAAACTTGTATCAATCGCAAACTAATCCCACTGTCTCACTCTCTCATCATATTGTTGTATCAATCCAAAACTAATCCAACTGCCTGAATTTCTCAGAATGTCTGTGACTCATTTCCCTTAAAAGATGTCCTGAACTTTGCTTAAACCACATTGTGTTAAAGTATTTCATGTTTTATTATTCCTCAGTATAAATGTGTTTTTTTTGGTCACACTCCTCATTCTCTAAGCAGTATTTTCAGATTGATGACCTCCCACCACTGACTTTGAACTGGAGTAAATAGTCTTCCCTTATCCATACTATTAAAACCCTGCATCCTTTTAGAAGCCCTTAAATCACTTTTTAGCTTTCCTCTTTCTACAAAGGGAAATCCAGAAATATACACAGAGCTCTATCTGTGGCCTAATCAGTTACTTGTGAAAATATCTACAACATCAATTCTTCATTCTTACATTCAATGCCTGCTTTCTATCTCTTTTTTTAAGTTTATAGTCTTGTACGCATCAGCCCATTCCAAAGCCTCTCACTCCATTTACTTGTGTGTTCGAAACCATTTGACAGTTCCCCTCTTTATTTTCAATCTAGGCAGCATCAAACAATATAGAAGTTAGTTTATATTTATCCACTGAATTGTCTTTCAATTTGAAATCCACTGCTTGGATTTTTACCAGTTTTTCCTGTGAATTTGGACTGCGGAATCTGAGCACGTAAATTGTGCTTAATTTCTCAGATATTAGTATTCAATCAACTGTAGTGAAGGAAAATGTTTCAGCAGGTTCCAAGAGATTTTCAACCAGTTCTTTACTTTTAAGCCAAATGAAGGAAAGCAAAAAGACATATATCTAAAGATTAGTTGCAGTGAAATTCATATTATGTGCAGTCCTTGGAACAGTAACAGTGTGTATGTAAAGGTGGGCAAGAGGTCATGTGGAAGTGGGAGCAAAGTAAATGGCTACAGATTGCTGTGGCATCTGGTTTAAGTTGTATTAATGTCAGAAATGGTAGTAAACAGGAAGAAAGTGGCTGGTATCAGAGTGACAGGAATGATTGTATGAGAGAAGAGAAAAAAGATATAAAATTATCATCAGAGATAGTAAGAACTGCCAATGCTGGAGTCAGAGATAACACAGTGTGGAGCTGGAGGAACACAGCAGGCCAGGCAGCATCAGAGGAGCAGGAAAGCTGACGTTTCAGGTCGGGACCCTTCTGAAGACTCTGTAAAATTATTACACAAAAATTATCACACTCTATAAAATTATTATGCTTCTTTTTAAGAGACATCCTGTGGATAAAATAAGATGATATATAAATACAAATTCTTTCTTATTTCCAATTACTTAAATAAAATATTTTTACTGATTTGTCAGTGATATTTTAGAGACAGTAATATATTTCTTACTCTCTGGACAAGCAGAGTCATCCACTCCACCATCATCAGAATCTGATTCATCCTCATCACTGTAGCCAAATTCGTCATCTGATTCTTCATCACTCTCTTCATCTGACTCTGTAGATGTAAAGTCACATCAGATTAAATTAATAGTGCCTTCACAATTACTGCCATAACTATCAATATATTAATATGTGAGACAAATGACAACCCAGTGTGCAGTCAGTGTGAAAAAATCTACAGGCCATATCGAATCTGAGAATACTTAGTCTCTCTGTGCTCTACCACCAAGACCAAGAAGGTCAGCAACGTTTTGGCAATACCATCAACACAGAGTTGGATGCACAGGAAGAAATACGCAAATTAACAAATGCTGTAACAAACATGGAATAATAATTGTGGGATATTTCACCTACCCTTATGTTAAACAAGACTAACTTAAAAAGGACTGAGGGCAGTGCTTGCTGGAGTGGACTCGAAACCTGACAGACTTATTAGAGTTCTTTGAGGAGGTAATAAGTAGAATAGATAAAGGGAAAGTAGTGGATGTAATATTTAGATTTTCAGAGGGTGTTTGATAAGGCATCACACATTAGGCATTTCCAAGACAGCCAACTTATGACAATTTACAATATATGTTATTGACATGGATGAGGAAAGTGAGTATATTATTGCCAAGTTTGCAGATGACACAAAAATAAATGGGAAGGCAATTAGTGAGGATGGCACAAAGATAGAGACATGTTAAATGAGTGGGCAAAAACTTGGCAGATGGAATATAATGTGAGGAAATGTGAGGTTATACATTTTGGCAGAAGAATAGAGGAGCTGAATATTATTTAAATGGAGAAAGACTGTGGTATAGAGGGAATTGAAAATGCTTATGCATACATCACAAAAAGCTAGCATACATGTTCAGCAAGTAATAGGAAAGGTAAATGGAATGTTGGCCTTTATTTCAGAGGGAATGCAGTACAAAAATAGAGAAATCTTGCTAAAACTATACAAGACACTCGTCAGACCACAGCTGGAATACTATGAATAGTTTTGACTTCCTTATTTAAGGAAAGGTATACTGACATTGAGACAGTCCAGAGAAGGTTCACTCAATTGATACTAGGTACAGAAGGACGGTTGAGGACAGGTTGAGTTGGTTGGACGTGTACACGTTGAAGTTTAAGAATGAAAGGTGACCCTATTGAAACATATATATGATTTTTTGGGCACTGGAAAAGGTAGATATTCCCCTTGTTGGAAAGTCTGGACCAGAGTGCATAATCTCACAATAAGGGTCACCTGTTTGAGACAGAGAAGAGGAGGAATTTCTTCTCTCAGAGAGTACTGAATCTGTGGAACTCTTTACTACACAGGGCTGTCAAGGCCAGGTCATAAAGAATATTCAAGGTTGAGATAGATAGATTCTTAATCAGTAAAGGAACCAAGGGTAATGGGGAAAGGTAGGAAAATGGAGTTGAAGATTATGAGCTCAACTATAATATCACTGAATGGCAGACCAGAGATGTGATGAGCTGAATGATCTCCTTCTGCTCCTATGTCCTGTAGTCTTCATTTGTCAGAAGACATAATTAAATGGGATAAAGGAATGGAGATCTGATAATGTGTACAGGACTCCTTTATAATCTAGTATGTAAAATGTTCAAAAAGGAAAGACTATTGGACCTAGTAAAAGAGAATGGATCAGAGCAGATAGAAGGAATAAAAAAGGAACATCCAGGTAATAGTGACCATAATATGATACAGGCATATTGATGGAAATAGGACAGCAATGAACCTTACTTAGACCACATTTAGAGTGCTGTGGTCGGTTCTGGTTACCTTATTGCACAGAAGACAAAGACTCCCAGGAGACAGTACAGCAGTGATTTAAATGATGACACCAGAAATGTGTGAATATCATATCAGGAAGAGATTGGCAGGCTGGGTCTCTATTCTCTCAAAAAAGATGACTGCTTGTTAACCTAATAGAGCTCTTCAAAATAATGAATGATTTTGATGGAATGGATACAGGGAAAATGTTGCCTCTGTGGAGAAAGAGGGTAACTAAAGACCATGAAGACACTTAGAAATCCAATAGGGAATTCAAAAACCTCTCTACCCATAGGGTGGTGAGAATATGGAACTCGCTACCCCAGGGAATGGTTTAAGAGCATAGTAAAGAAGCATTTAATTGAGAGCTAGGGAAGTATATAAAAGGACAAATAAAAGAACAGAGAGTCATGATGATAGACTCTGATGTGTAAATGCGGAAAGAAGGTCTAATGGAGCATAAATGCCAGTATGGATTGTTCGGACCATATGGTCTATTTCTGTGCCATAAATCCTATATAATATAATGTGAAATCATTGGGACTTGAATATTAGTGTCAATCTTTCATTATATCCTGTATTATTTCATTAATTCTGTTTTGCGAGTACTATCACCACACATGCTGCAACACTTCACGATAACTAAGGATGTTCAAAAATAAAGAGTTGAATAACTGTCACCCACTTACTAAGAAATTATAAAATTATAAAAAATTCATAAGTAGTTAGCATTTTGCTATGGTAATCATAAAGCAGAAATCATCTATTTCCAGTTGTGGAAGTTTTCAGTCTTCCACTCGTCTGTAATCCAAATTAAAACTCAGATTTAAGGAAATATTTCTTAAAAGCATTGAAGGAAAAGAACATGCTAACGAATTTATCAGGTTTCCAGGTCTCATTCTGTGCACAGACCTGATGTGACTTTTGCTTCGTTCTTTTTTTTACGTTTGATTTTCTTCTTGAAGACTTTGGTCAGAAAATCAGCATGTTTATTGTTTTCACCCAGGGATATCAGGAAGGTGGCATGAAGGGCTTTCTCCTTCTCTTGCAGTTTGGCTACGTCACGTTTCTTGGCCTCTAACTGCTGCAAACATTCCTCTGATTTAATCTGTAACAGAGAATACAGCACTTTCTGTCAGGGTAATAGAGCAAAAGTTTGATTCTTAAGGGTGAAAATGATTAAGTCTGATACAAAAATGACCATAAACAACATTCAACTTAAACAGAACCTATATTCATTGGTAGCTCCCCACATCTGCATGCTCAAAGTGTTTGGGTGAAGCTAAGAAACAGCAAGGGGCAGCAAACATTTCTGGGAAAGTTTATAAGCCAGCAAACAGCAGTGGTGATATTAGGCACTGTATAAAGCTAAGCAACACAATGCTGTTGAAAATGAATTCTCAGGAATGTGTATGAGATTGATTTCTAGAGCAGTACATTGAGAAAATGTTACATAAATTACAGGGCTAATAAATAACTTTGCTGTAAATAATCTTTTGAGAAGTAGTGACCATAATGTTATATGATTGTACATTAAGTTTGAAAGCGATATCGTTCATTCTGAAACCAATGTCTTAAACCTGAACATAGAAGACATAGGAACATAGAAACAGGAGGAGACCATTAAGTCCATCCAGCCTGCTCTGCCATTTAATTTGACCAATGTTGATTGAAGATTTCAATGCCTTTTACTCACACTATCCCCATAACCCTTTACACCATTGGTAATCTGAAATCTGTCAATCTCAACTCAAAAACTGAGCTTTCATAGCCCACAGGTGTAGAGAATTCTAATGGTTCCTTTGAGGTCAAAGTTGCATTGAGGTTTTAGGAAGGATTTCCCCTACAAGGCCCAGTATGTTTTCTGACCCTATCTTACCAAACTCGCTTCATTAATACCAATCCACCTATGGTATCTGTCATGTCCAATTCTGGCTTTACCTTACCATGAGCCAATCCCAGAACAATTCAACACTCAGCAGATATCCCAGAATTCACCAGCATCCCTTGTGGCCATGCCATCTTTAAAATCCCATTTTGTACATGGCCAAGCACTGTCAATCCAGAGCTGCCCTGCACGGTTCCTAACATTTGGACATGGCAGGCAGAGAGAAATGGTTACCCACTTTTTGGCCAAAGAATGAGAGATCTTGCTGCACCAGGTGGTGCAGAGATGGGATTTCCTCTTCCCCACTACCAGCAGTGCAGGCCACAACACCCAACTTAATTGAAATATATAAGTTAATGGGGGTAACTAACCGGGTGGATACCAAAAGGACTTTTCCTTTCATGGTCATTAATTGCCCACTTTAGGGCCTTAATTGGTACCAGGGTGGGAATATCTGCTTAAACATTCTGGTGGAGGCAGGAAGGCAGCAGGACTTAGCTACAGCAGTATCTCACTTCATTTCATTCCCCACCACTTCGAAGCTCAAACCCAGAGGGAGAAGATTCTTCCCCATGTTGTAGCCACATAGGCGGAGCAATTTATGGAATCATAGAATAACACCAGCTCCCTTTCCAATTCCAGTTTGATTTAGCCCGCTCCCTCACCTTTGATGGTTTGCATTATCCTTAACTGGCTTTGCACATAAGTTAATGACCAGGAGGTCATGAGTAATTTACCAGCAGTGGTTAAAATACCAATGGTGATTTGGTAATGGTAAAGAAAGCTTTCAATTGTGTGTAACAGCACTTCTTGATAAAAATATACACGGATTAGATGACTGAACAGGTTGATTAAAAACATCTAAATAAAACAGATGAGAGGGGAAATTGTTGCTCTACCAGGTTTCAGAAAAGAGCAATCAATTAATCCCACCCTTGCTCCTTTTGCCTGGAAACGTTTCTTTTCATGCATGTGCCCAACTTTTGAGTGTTCACATTCAAAATACTACTGCTAAAATCCTTTCAGATAATCTTTCCAGATCATAAAAACTCATGTGAAACTAATTTTTCTTATCTTTTGCCCTGGCAGTTTTGTCATTTATCTTAAATTTATATTTTCTGATTATTGACCCTCTTATCACTGGAAACAAATTCTATTAAGTATTCTATCAAAATCTCTCATAATTTTAAATATGTCTGTCAAATCTCATAAAAATTCCCAACAACTCCCAATTACATAAGACCTTCAATGTAGAAAAATCCCTCCAAAATGTTTCCCCAGAGTGTAATCAACCAAAATTCGACACTCATGGGTTTAATTGAGCACCTAAAAGGAAAGAGGTTAGCCAGGTATATTAATGGAGAGCAATCCAGAGTTTATGTCTTCTACAGCTTAAGTACAGTCCTCACTAGTAGACGGACTAAAACTGGGAATTCATAATAGTGTGAGATTGAGCAGCACAAAAATTTTGGGCATGGAGGAAATGGACAGATTTGAAAACAAGGGTGTGAATTTTATATCTGAGGTGGTATCAGACTAGGAGCCAAGGTTGGTAAGTGAGCACCATGGACAATGGGTGAATGTGACAATGTGAATTAGGATATGGGGAGCAGACTGTTGGATGAATCCAGTTCTTTGCAGGGTTGATGTGGGAGCCCAGGCAGAAGAGCATTGGGATAGTTGCATCTAAAGTAAATAAAATGGATGCGGGTTTCAGCACCGGGTAAGCTACTAAGGAAGCATCATAGGAGAGTGATGTTACAGAGGCGATAGTAGGTAGACTTGATTAGAAATGTGACACTCATATTCAAGAAAAGTGGTAAACATCTTCTTAGTAGCTACAGGTCAATCAATTTAACATCAGTGCTGGGTAAGGTTTAGAAACAATGTTCAGGGGGTAAAAAATCAACTGACACTTGCAGAATTTTGAGTTAATTAAGGAGAACCAGCACAGATTTGTAAAAGACAAATCATATTCAACTAATCTAACTGGTCTTCTGATAAAGTAACAAAAAAAGTTGATAAAGGAAATGCAATGGATGTTGTCCAACAGGTATGAGGTACTTGTTCCCTGTGTGGATGAGGAACAGGGCTTTAGGGAGGATAAGCCAGCTGAACACAGCACTTTAGTACAAGGCCATTCAAGAGGGGAGGAGCAAAACAACAAGTGGTAGTTGTAAGAGATTCTATAATTAGTGGAATAGGTGGCTTCTTTTGTAAGCAGGATCAAGAGTCCCGCATAGTATGTTACCTGCCCAGTGATGGGGGAGGGACATCTCTGAACGGCTTGAAAGGATATTGGAGATGGACGGGGAGGATCCAGTTTGTTGTGGTCCATGTCAGGACAAACAACATAGGCTCACAAGGAAAAAGGACCTGTTTGGGGATTATCAGGAACTAGGAACTAAATTAAGAAATAGGTCCTCAAGGGTTATAATCTCCAGATTACTACTTGAGCCACGTGCAAATTGGCATAGGACGCGAGAATAAGGGAAGTAAACACACGGCTAAAGGAGTGGTGCAAGAAAGAGGGGTTCCATATCATGGGGTACTGGCATCAGTATTGGAACAGGAGGATCTGTACCGCTGGGACAGTTTCCACCTGAACCAAGCTGGGATCAATGTTCTAGCGAAAAGGGTAAATAGGGTGGTCAACAGGACTTTAAACTAGAAAGTTGGAGGAAGGGAAGGGTAAAACTCCAAGTATTATAATGTTTGTGGGGGTGGATTCAACTGCATGGAAAAGTGTGAAAAAAATGAAAAGAAAGGAGAACTCAGGAAAGGTTATTAAAGTCTCCAGAACACAAAATAGGTCAGAGTGTTTGGAAAGGATTAGGAGTCTAATTTCAAGCACATCAGATAAAGGGATGACAATGAGAAGAGGGACGGTAAATACAAGACTGAAGCTGTTGTATCTGAATGCACACAGTATACGAAATAAGGTAAATGAGCTTGTGGTACAGTTTGATATTGGCAGATATGATGTCATGGGCATCACGGAGATGTGGCTGCAAGGGGATCAGGACTGGGAGCTAAATATCCAAGGACATACATCCTATCGAAAAGACAGGCACATGGGCAGAGGGGTTGGGATTGCCTTATTAGTAAGAAATGAAACTAAGTTGATAACAAGAAACAACGTAGGGTCAGATGATATAGAATCTGGGTGGGTAGAATTGAGGAAACGCAGAGGTAAACACAAAATCATAATGGGAGTTATATATAGGCCTCCAAACAGTAGTCAGGATGTGGATGTGATACACCAGGAGATAGAAAAGGCATGTAAGAAAGGCAAGGTTACAGTGATCATAGGGGATTTCAATATGCAGGTGGACTGCGAAAATTAGGTTTGTAGTGGTTCGCAAGAAAAGGAATTTATGGAACGTCTATGAGATGGTTTTTTGGAGCGGCTTGTGGGTGGTGCCCACTAGGGAACAAGCAATACTGGATTTAGTAATAACAAAGTGTGGAGCTGGAGGAACAAGGCAGGTCAGACAGCATCAGAGGAGCAGAAAAGTTGACGTTTCAGGTCAGGACCCTTCTTCGTCAACTTTCCTGCTCCTCTGATGGTGCCTGGCCTGCTGTGTTCCTCCAGCTCCACACTTTGTTATCGCTGACTCCAGCATCTGCAGTTCTTGCTATCATACTGGATTTAGTGATGTGTAATAAGACAGATTTGATAAGGGAGCTTAAGGTGAGGAACTCTTAGGAGGCAGTGACCATTATATGATAGAATTTACTTTGCAATTTGAGAGAGAGGTGGAATCAGATATAACAGTACTATAGTTGAATAAATGCAACAACAGAGGCATGAGGGAGGAACTGACCAGAATTTACTGGGAGAGCAACGTAGCAGGAAAGACAGTGGAACAACAATGGCAGGCATTTCCGGGAATAATTTGGGAGACACAGCAAAAATTCAACCGTAGGGAAAAGAAGCATACTAAAGGGAAGACGAGGCAACATCCATGGCTGACAAGGGAAACAGGGACAGAATAAAAGCAAAAGAGAAAGCATATAATGCAGTGAAAGACAGTGGTAAGCCAGGGGATTGGGAAGCCTACAAAGACCAACAGAGGACAACTAAAAAGAAATAAGGAGAGAGAAGATTAAATATGAGGGCGAGCTAGCCAGTAATACAAAAGAAGATTGCAAGAGTTTCTTTAGATATATAAAGGGCAAAAGAGAAGCAAAAGTGGACAAAATGGGCTGCCGGAAAA